TATGGAATGTTTTGTTTTTGTTTTTGTTTTGTTTTAATATTGTCATTGTTAGAGAGCCCTAAGATAACTTTTAGGCAGTTTTTTTTTTTAATCCTTTTTTTTTTTAATTTTTATTGGGTAGCAGTGTTTATTCCAGGACCCATCAGCTCCAAGTCAAGTTGTTGTCTTCAATCTAGTTGTGGAGGGTACAGCTCAGCTCCAAGTCCAGTCACCATTTTCAATCTAGTTGCAGGGGGCACAGCCCACCAACCCATGAGGGAATCGAACCAGCAACCTTGTTGTTAAAAGCATGCATGTGCTCTAACCAACTGAGCCATCTGGCCTCCCACCAGCAGCTCAGCTCAAGTTGTTGTCTTCAATCTATTGTAGTTGTGGAGGGTGCAGCTCACTGGCCCATGTGGGAATCGAACCGGTAGCCTTGTTCAGAGCACACGCTTTAATCACCTGAGCTAACCGGCCACCTGTATGGAACATTTAAGCAAGCAAATGATATCTCTGGAGTCCTTTGCCCAGAGTTTCTGATGATAGCCACAGCTGCAATCAGACAGTACACCTCCCTGAACCTTCATCCCAGGAGGTTGTTGGAGTTCAGTTGTTTCCCTCTGGGTGCTTTGGGTACAAGGACCTGAATACCCAAATAAAAGTGGCTTAAACGGTTGAGTTTGATTGTGGTTGTCACCTCACAGATCAGGACTAGCCATAGGCAGTCAGTCTCACGGTTGGCTTAGCAGCTCAGTGATACCATCCAAGACGCTGCTTCTTTTCATCTTTCTGTCTTTCCGTCTTTGAGGTGCCCCACCATCTTCCACCTTGTTCACAGGGTGGCTGCAGCAGGTGTGAGCTTTGCAATCTCGTGTGACAAGGTTCCTTAGCAAGAAAGGAAGCGGTAAGGAGGAAGAGATCTTACCTCCTCTCTCTCCTTTTGTAAGGAAAAACGTTCCTCAGAAACACCCCCCAGCAAGCGTCCCTTATGTCTGATTGGACTTAACGGGATTCTGTAGCCATCCTGAGCTCCTAGAGGGGCTGGGAAAAGTGAAACTGTCATTCTCAGTCTCTGTCTTGGAACTGGGCACTTCCAAATCCTCAAGAAGGATGAATACAATGTTCGCTGGGCAGGCTGTGATGATAATCAACACTACAGTACTTCACATATATTAATCCTTTGGATCTTCACAACAAGCTCCCGGGGTAGGTGTGATCATATTATTTTACAGAGATACAAACTGAACTTCAGAGATGCTAAGTAGCATAGCGAGGTGGGGAAGGACCGGGTATCCAGCTCCAGCTCCTGACGCCAGAGGCTGCGCTTCTAGCCACACGTTGCACAGCTCTCAGCCTGCAGGGTCGGCCACAGCAGGCAGTCCACCAGGCTGCTTCTAACATCTCACACACACAAAGGTCTGAGCAATGCTTGTTTCCCTCTGAAGTGCAAATGTGACATTTTCCCCTGGCTGCAGTCAAGGTGTGGGTGAAAAGAGCAGAGAGGCATCCAAGAGTGACAAGAATTGATTCCTGTCATCATCAGGGCTGCAACAGCTGGGGCCGTGATCAGGGTAAGGGCTGGGGCTGGGAGAGTCCATTTCATGGCCAGCGGCCAGTAATAAACTGTCAGCAGCCCACTGTGCTACCACAGGTAACAGAGAGTCTGGGCAAGCCAGAGGTGAGTGACTGAATCCAGCTACCAGCAGGCAGGATTGGAATAGAAGAGAGTTTCTAGGTTAGAGGAATGTTTTAGAGGCCACTTCTACTCTCCCTCTAATTTCAATATGAGAACAATGAGGTCCAAATTGGGCCATTTGCCCCCAATCACCCAACTAATTTATGTAGAATGTGAGACACAAAAATGAGGGCTTTTTCTTTTTTTTTTTTTTTTATCCAGGCGGACACAAATAACTTGAGCCATGTCCACAATGAAGCCTTGGTGTGACCCTTGCAGAAAGCATCCCTAGCACTGCATGCATGCTTCTGATATTTCCAGAGTGTCTCAATAGCTAGCCCACACCCAACCTTGGACATGAATCTTGCCAACTCCACCTGCTGGCTGAGTGACCCACGGCGAGTGGCAGAACCTCTCCAATACTCATTCTCCTCCTCTATGCAATGGGAAAAGCAAAATTCCAACCTCACAGTGCTATGGGGACAATTATGTCTTAAACAGCAAATAGCACCATGTTCCGGGCAGATTCAGGGGTTGGTCGGTAGCCATTACTGTTCATGTCATAGCTCCCTGGAGCCTACTCCCAGTTTTGGTTAATCAGTATGTCAATCAGTAGAGGAGACTCAGAGTCAACATCACAATAGAGTGCAGGCAGCAGAGTGTTACGGAGACATAAAGATGTGATAAAGTAAGAGGCACAGGGACAGTCTGAGTCCACAATAGTAGTATGATCATGTACAACTAAAGATAAGAAAGAAAGAAGCACAGAAACAGTAAAAGAGCCTCCACCCTTCACTCAGTCTCCCAGACCAGTTTCAGCCTTCTTCCATTTGGGCACCTCGAGATGTAAACAAGACAGGTACCATTTTTACCAGCTTCTTTAGACAGATCTAAAGAATTCAAAGGAATTTGCTGTAGGTCATATAGCTGGTAAGTGGCAGAGCCAGGACTAAACACCAAGGCCAAATGACTCCAAAAACGTTCTACGTGCCTGCAAATCATTGTGGGCATTAAATAAGCTAATACACGTGGAGTTCATGGCGTATGCCTGGCAGAGGAGTGGTAGCTCATATCATTGCTAATTTCATCATTATCATCACATGGCCCTGTCCCTCCTGCACCAGACCCAGCCGAGAAAGATGGCGCTATTGCTCCTAAGCAAGAGGTGGCGCCTCCTAGCTCCCAGCATTCATCAGAGCCAGGATCAGGAAACAGCAAGAGGTACACGGTCCTCTGACAAGCAGTACCTGACTCGGGCGGCTGGAAGAGGCGTGCATGCCTCTCACAGTTATACTGCCCAGCCCTTGGTTCAGGGGGGACAAGAGGAGGCTGCCAGACCCAGAGGTCAGCAGGGTGGCACAGGCTCAATGCTAAACCTGCCCGTATTTCGAATCCTCCCATAACCCTCATCAGTAACATGGCCAAGAGGCAGGAGAGACGACGGCAGTGGTGGCAGTAGCAACAATGCAAGCAACCAAGAGAAAGCAGCTGGCACGGAAGGGCCTTGTGCCAGGCCCAAAGCCCAGAGGGACTCAGCAGTGATTACAGTATTAAGCAAATGATGCTGATGTCTGCACCAGGGTCCTGTACCCTGCCAGGGAGGAGACAAGGAGAGGTGGGATTCTTGTAATCACGCTGGTGCAGGCCCAGCCAGCAGGGGTTTTACCCATAGGCTGGGAGCGCTAGAAGCACCTGTTACAGCAGAAATAGTTTGGCACACCAAACAAAAACGTGGATTCATTCAGGCCACCTGTAAAGGAATTTAATGCTTAACAAGCTGCATAATGCTCCTAATTGTTATAATTAATTTGGCACCTCTTCCCTGGTAGGTGTTGAACAAGTATCGTATAGCCAAAGCCGATTTCTTGCTAACATGGTTTTCCCCCCATCATTAAAGCTTTGAGAAATTGTGTCATTTGAAAAACCTTAACACCGTGTTTTCTTCCAAAACTATCTTTTTAGTTTCTCTTCTTTTGGCCCTCTCTATTCACGATTGGTATGAACTCTACTTTCTTTGGCTTATTCAGTTACTGCTTCCCTGTTGCATACTTTAGGTTATAATTATTTTCTCATTTCCCCTCCAGCTGGCAGCAGTTTGGTCCCTTTCACCTCGTATTTCTTTAAAATGTCACACTGTGGCTCTAGCTTATTTAAACACCCTGGAAAGTGGAGAAATATATCCATCGTAGGCACGTCCCACATCCCTTAGAAAAGTGTCCCTGCTGTCTTTCCACGTGACACAGATGACAGGACCAGAATCCAAAAAGCTAACAACAAACAGCTAAGTGCTCTGCAAAGAAAATATATAGATGTGAAAACAATCTGGCTTTTGCTACTTAAAAATAAAAACAGGAGAGGGGTATCATAGGAAAGCAGAATTCACTTTAAGAAGGAAAACAAAGAAAAAATATTTAATAATCATAGTGCCCCATGTATCAAGCTCTCTTTGTATCTCCCTATTGACAGCTAATATCACAGGCCAACCCCACTGATTAGGGAATTCCAAAAATATGACACTTTTGAAACAAAGAGTTTCTTATTCTTTTTCTGTATCTGTCACTCCTAAAAGATACAGTGATCCAAAGTTTATTGCTGGAAGATAAAAAAAAAAACAAAGTGGTAACAAAAACTTTATAATAAACTAGAGGACATTTTTTTTGTCTGAAAAAGTGGAAAACAATGCATCCCTTTTTCAGAAGTTCTCTTTTTAAGTTTCTTTCTTTTGATTCCCAATAGAAGACGTTATCAGTATAACAATTATTCACACGAATACTAACCAGTGTCAGCTTCTCTGTATTCTATAAGGAATCTGTATTTTAAATTTAATCCTGAGTATTTTCTAAACACACAATCACAACAATTTATAAATATTAAACTTTAAAATGGACTTGAGAATGACTGCTCCAACATTTAAGTAGAATCTTTTTCGAAGAAGAGATCACCAGGAAGTCCACCAATTCTTTCCTCAGAATTTCTATAGCTTTGAGGAAGAGACATATAGGAAATCTGTTTTACTGATAAAATTTAAGAAAATAATCCATATATTTATAAGCCAAGAACTCATATGCAGAATGTCTCAAGAAATCCAGTGGTCAGACATTAGGATGCTGCCAACGACTCATCGACAGTGTCCTGTAAATTAAACATAGTAATATCTCAGTTCTACAAAGGGAAGAAATTAAGTACCGAAGGACTAGAATAATTCACTTATTGTGACCAAAAAAAAAAAAAGTTAAGGACAAAATAAACTTGGTTCAGATAACCTCAAATGCTCACACACTTAAAACCACTTATATTTATTTTAAGAAAAGACCATGTCCATTCTGTTGTCCTTTGTCTCCAAGAATTAATTTTTATTGTCAAGTCAATGTTAAAATTGCATACATTTTATATTAGTAAATTAATTTTTATTTTTACAGATAATGACCATTATGAATATCACTTAGATCTGCAAATGTTTTAACTTTATTTCTTGCATCAAGAAGGCAGCGCTTGTTAGGGTAGAGGTAGATATTTCTAATTCAACAAGAACCATTTTAACTCCTAAAGACTTAACAAGAGAATTGTATTAGTAGTGAATCTTTTGCGTACAGGTTATAAAACTCTACTTCAAGTGACTTAAGCTGAAGGAAATTTTATTAGAAGGACACTACAGTATATTCACGCATCCAACTGACAGCAAGGGACTGGGTTTCAAACAGCTCAGCCCCAGGGACAAGGAAAAGGAGCTCTCTCCCTCCCCTTTTGTGCTTTCAATAGTTTAGTTTCAAATCCCTTCATTAAAGCTCACACTTTCTCACACAATAGCCACCATCAGCTTCCAAGCCCCCTATCCCACATCAGGAAATACTAATGACTCTTTTAATTCTAGCTCAAAAACTCCCAAGGACACGCTGATCTGTGTGCCCATATCCAAGGAGGTGCGGCACCCTTAATCACAGACTCTACCTAAGGGGTACGGTTGGAATGTAGGCAGAAGTAATTCACACAAAAAATGGGTAGGGGCTGGGAATATTGAATAGCTAACTGGTCAGACAAATCAAGAATAACCAAGTAAAACAAAAACAGGCACAGATTCTGAAAGTTCAGGTATTGCCAGAAAGTTAAGGTGGCACAGGATAGAAAGCTGGAAATTGGCATTAAGGCATTCTCCAATACACTGTATTTTCGCTTCTATTTCCCAGCCAAAACAATAAATACATCACTTTAAAACTTAATAACACATCGTTTTCTCTCTCCTCTCTCTTAGATGTTTTCTGTCCCCTTCCCATAGCATCAGAGTTTGTAGTCACAAATTGTCCCTAAAAACCTCATGCAGAGCATCCCTACTGTTACTTTCAGAGTTGTTTTTGAAATTTTCTGTTAATTTTAGGACTCAGATCTTCAATTTCCTCATTCCAGTTTCACAGCATTATCTTCAGAGCTTTGAGAGTCTGATGCAATTTCTAGTTCATACTCCTGTTTCAACTGCTGCATTTTCATGTTTAAATCCAGTAAAGTTTTGGCCAGCTGACGATTTTGGAAATGCATTTCCAGCTACAAGTAAGAAAAAGAATAAGGACTTTTATTAGCCTGAGATATGGATCAAATGAAACTGTTCTCTGCACAGGAAAAATAAGGACTTTATAGGAAAGGGAAATAAGATATCAAGAAAGATGTATTTCTCCTCTTATTCTCCAGTCCTGTTGGGCCTGGCTATAAAACTTACTTTCTATATGACAAAGTAAAATCTAGATATACAAATAGCTTTTGAAATGGCCTTGAAATGAAAACACAAATAGCTGATGCACAAAGCTGTCCATATGAAAAATTCCTGTGTGTGGAAGACATTTCAAGCAATGGCATGTGATCTGCAATGAAATCACTTATCTATATGAGCTTTCTGAGCTACAGGGTAACTGCCCAGGGCCACCTAAGCGTGCAGGACCTGGGCTTATTTACTTGATTATTTGTCATTTCAAGTTTTTAGGGTTTTTAAATGGTCTGCCTGTCGAGCAAACATATCTAACGACACCTTAGAGGCACATGTACAGTTCTGTGTACTTATATAATCTAACAATATTCACTCTAGAGTAAAATCTGCTATATAGCAAGGCTGATTTATACCTTTCTCCAGTGGGAATTGGTGAAGGTCTTTATGTATTAAAACATAGATTTCTTGGGCAGTTTACCTGAGAGGCTGACCAACAAAGCTTAGCCCAGCATCATCTTTGTATTATAGTTGAACATTAACGATTTGCAAATTTCTTCAATTAGCGTTTTTGTTTAATGCAGTTCGTGAGGACCCTGTTCTGTCTGCTTAAAACCTTTCGTCACCTCACCAACGGAACCACCTAAGGATGCACTGGGGCATTCTGTTGGTAAAAAGCAAATATTGGTGGTCCCTTTCCAATTAGCAAAATAAGGCCATTGGATAAATTTTTCTTTTAGTTTTCCCCCGACGCATTTTTCTTCACTCTTCATCTTCTGGAGCCACTTCTCTGATAGCAAGAATTAGCAAGGAAAAAGGTCGATAAGCATCCTGCCATCAAGCATTAACAGTAATGACATAACAGCAACACAAAAAATCCCTGCACCTTGACGACAGGAAGCTGAGTCCTCCAGTGTGGCACAGATGCTCTATAATCTGCTCCCCTTTTCCAGGTTCATTTCCTGGCACTCTTCACACCAGACCCCGCTGTCAGGGTCCCCAACCTTGCCTGTCCCCAAATAAAAACACTGAGCTAAGCCACATCTTGTTCCTCTGCTGAGGATGCCCTTTGACACCCTTCTTCCTGTTGAACCCAGCCAAATGCCAACTCCTGTTAGAAGAGGTCCCTTCCCTTTTGCCTCTTATCTGTGCTTCCAGAGCATTCTGTGCATGTGACTCTCACAGCACACAGACTAGACTAGACTGATGGTTGAGGGTACGGTTTGTTTCACATTCCTAGTTGTATCACCAACTGTGGCTGTACTGCCTGGGCACACAACCTGGTGGGTTCTCTGTGTGTTTGTTAAAAGACTGAGTGAATGAATGACTAAATGTATGAACTGATGAATATTCATCATCTACTTTCCTGTCAAGAACCAAGGAGTAAAATTACTGATAATGGTTCACCACCTAAGAAAATATGTGTAATTCACACCTATTTAGGAAATTCAAACCCCAGTGCTTCCTTAACTTTTCTTTCATCTTGGATCCTTTTGAGAATCTGATGAAAACTATGAATGCTTTCTGAGGTTAAAAAAAAATGCACTGTATGCACATACAAAATTTTGCATACAATCTTAGGTATATAGAACCTCTGAAATCCACTCACAGGCCCTAGAAATCAATGTATCCCACTAAGAAGACCATTTGGAACAAATATTATAGCATAAATAACATCACATAAATAGCAACACAACTCTAAATTAATTGAACCTGTTCATCATTGCTCCTTACACAAATACCACTCAATACATGATACATGCACATAGGACGATTCCTGTAGAAATCTGGTTAACGGCTCATTATCAGAAACTGTCTCTTCTCGTGCTGATGTTGAACTAAAACATCCACACAATTTTGCCTCTTCCTCATGACTAGTCACTCACGTGGTGAAATTGTTGTCAAGATGTTGACCATGGTCTGTAGCCCCAAAACATAGCACCTGTGTATGTGTGAAATTCTCCAGTTCCTTTCTTGATCTTTGAAAGCTATATATTTGTCATGCTTTGGTACAATCAGTATCCAAGATCTATAATAATAATTATCATAATAAGAGCCACTAAATAGTGCCTATGTGTCAGGCACTTTATTATAATATTATCTCAAATCCTTAAAGCAGTCCTATGAGGTTATTATCTCCATTTTACAGATGAGTAAACTCAAACTTGCAATTAACAATCCCAAAATGGTAGGGCCAGCAAGTGTAGTAAGCAGAGCCTGTAAACGCTAATGCTGGGATTCAACTGTTTGGGATTTTATTCTCCACCTCCTCCCCACCCTCAATATATTACTTGCCTGAAATACCTACTGGTAAAGCGACCTGCTAGAATGTGAAGATTAGAAGGTGTCTCAGAGCTTATTCAGTAGCATCTTTTCATTTGATTCAAATATGAGTCAACTGAGGTACAGAGAAAGGTGGTGACATCCTAGGTCAGCAGCACAGAGAGGGCTGAGACAGGTCTCAGCCTTCCAGTTTGCTTCCTGGCCCACAGCATACCCCTCCAGGCAAGTATTCCTCCCAGTGAGGTATCTCCGTTATCCACCTGCTCAGGTGCATGAAGAAAACCAAGTGTTTCTTCAGTATGATACCCTCAGAAATAATACATCCCTTGTCAAATTCAAATTGTTAGCACGGGTTAAATTGGATTTACTACCTTACTGCCATTCTTAAACTCAGAAATGAGTCAGATATTCTGTTAAGGTTCTTAAATCAACTTACTGATGGTTGAATCAGGTCTAAAGTAGTAGAATATTTTATTAGTATTCAGTGCAAGAGAGTAGAAATTTCCAAGTCAACTCTCCCTACACACATGTTCATAGACAGCACCTTTTTAAGTCTGAATTGCTCTTACTCATTTTGTCCTTTTCAAATTTTGTCTAATTTGGAAGTTGTTTAAATTTTTTAAAAACACACACACACATACAGTAATCTATAATAACTTACTCTTTTCTGTTTAACCTTGGGACCTAATCTGACCAATGTTTAAAGGCTACAACTTTACATAATATTATTTCCTGTTTTCTGAATTCTTACCAAGGGGAAAGATTAAGCGTAAAACTTGCGGAATAAAAGAAATAGTTGCTGGTGGACTCGCTCCATCAACCCCACGGGAGAATTTATTTTATTGAAATTTCCTTCTCCACGGCCATATGAGCTCCCTACAGGGAACTTTCCATAAGGTAGGAAAAAAAAAAAAAACAGATCAAGTTGGGGAGGAGTTACTGGGGTCTTGAGCTTGTCACTAGTAGACTCAGCGCCCCACAGGTGCCAGCACCTCGGATCCTGTACAACCGGTTCCCTCCCAGATGCTGCTGGGGAGGTGGGGGCAACATCACCTTGTGGGGATACTAGGCGACCGTGGGGGAAAATCGACAGCGAGGGCTTAGCTGCCTCTAGCTGCACACCCCCACTGCCTTCCTCCCTGAAGAGCTCCCCTTGCCTCGCAATCCCTGTAGCGGACCACGCAGCCTGTGGCCGGGAGCCCCACAGAGGACCGAGCCGAGGACGGTCCCAGCGCCGCCAGGGCGCGCTCACCAGCTCTGCACGCAGCCCGGCCAAGGCGCTCTCGAAGGTTGCGGGACTCTGCTCTTCCCCAGCCGCCGCCGCAGGCGAGCGCCTGGAGTCCCCGCGCGGAACCGCACACTGGAAGGCGCGCAACAGCCGCCGCCTGAGGTCGTCCAGCCGCGTATAGGCGGCCGGGACTTCCTCCTGGGGGGCTGAGGGCCCAAGCCCAACTCTGACCGGAACTCCGTGGGGCCCCCGGGGCATTCCCTCTCGGCTGCGGCCTGAGTCCCCCAGGCCCATCGCAGGGACAACGGATCTCAGCCTCCCGGGCATGGATCGCCAACGGCTTGTTTCCAAGTGTGAGAAAGAGGGCGGGTGAGGGCGGGGCGGGGATAACTAACGGAACCTGCGGAACCGCTGCCACGTGGGACGCAGCTGTTGCAACGCCGCTAAGAGGCGCTCCATGTCCCCCAGCCTCATTCATCTCTGTCCTCCTTCCACTCTTTATCAGCAAGCCAAGGAGGCGGTTCCCATACCTCCGAAAAGATATTTGAACCGGACCACATCTTCTTGTTCTTTGAAGTGTCTTTCTAAGGGGCAGACTTGGATCCCTCCACGTAGGTGAAAGTTAGATTACAGATGGAAGGTTTGAGAACACAGGTGGAATGTCATGGCAGAACTGCTGCCCCAGTTCCCTTGATTATTTAGTACTTCATCCCTTTAAAATAATTTTTTCTCACTTTCTTGTATCTGCCAGGCACTGTGACAAGGTATATCCCCAATATAAAGTCTAATTAGGCCCCCTTACGTCTCCCCGGCATTTTCCACAGTCAAGTGGGGGAAGCTTGGCCCTATTTGTGGTGAGAAAGATGGTTTTTCCATAAGCCCAACAATGCAGGAGGCGCTTGGAATTCTGAACTCCATGCTTTTTTTCTGTGCTTGACCCCTTTCCGCGACTTTCACATTGATGAAGGGGTTAAGATGAAAAATAAAAGCTCCTCTTACCCCAAAGCGTGCTACTTTATAATTCCCAATTCAGTGTAAGCATGTGTCAGTATTACGTGTATATCCTCTCTCAGTGAACATAATCAATTGCCCCTTTTTGATCTAAGGGCGAATTTCTAAAAAGGAATAAACAAAAATTTTGCATGATCGTAGAATACAATTATCGCGCCTCTCCGTCCCCCCCCCAAAAAAAGTGGCCAAGATGTACTCTCTTTAGAGTTATTCGTTCATTCAGTAAAGATTTAGAAATCACCTGCAATGTTCCAGGCCTGTGATAAAAATTAGAGCTAATTTTTATTAGCACTTACTGTGTGCTATGCACTTTATGTGTGTTAACCCATTTTATCTTTATAACAACCGTGTGAGGTAGATACTCTGAGTCTCTGAATTTTACAAATGAAGAAGCTGAGGCAGAGGTTAAGCTAAATGCCAAAGACCATAAGACTGAGGATTTGCACCTGGGAAGCCTGGCTTGTGTTCTGAACCACTGGGACACACCCTGGTATGCCTACCAACGAGGGAAAAAAGTTGTCCAATTTACATGTTGCATGAGTCTGTTCAAATTCCAAATGCTCACAAAATTCAGCTCTACTGAAATGTCTTAAGGCTCCACTGGATAAGGAGGAATACAGGCTCTCAGACCTCTGTAGATAACCTGCCAAATTCCAAATTCCACACCTTACAAGAATTTACAACCTAGCACAGTTATCATTGTGTAGTATTGTTTCATAAAGATTGTCTAGAAACATCTGAGGATGTATGCTATTTGGTAAAACTTATGAACATCCATATAGTCTACCAGGCACCAACAGAGTACAAGTGTAAGGTTTGGGGGATTTTTGTTGCCTTTTTGGATGATAGGTTGATGGGACTTGAAAACCAGCACTAGTCAATGAGGTAGAATAAATGTTTAAAATGAGTTTTCTACCATGATTTTTCATTTGTCTCCAGATCATTTACTTCAACAAGAATTTCAGTTAAGTTTAATTCAACAAACAGTGAATGGTACATGGTCAGTGTTAAGCATTGTACCATGTGAGGGAGATTAGAAGGGGAGTCAGGCACAGTTTTTGCCATGCAGAAGCTTAGAGCCTGGAGGAGCAAATTCCTTCATTCATTCATAAAGCAATATTTATTTAACGTCTTATTATGCACCAAGTATTATACAAGGTGTTCAGGTTTCAAAAGTAAACCAGAAAGCTAAAATGGTATTTTAAAACAGTCTGGTTTTATCACAAATGAATAATTTTCTTCCATAGATTGAATTTCTTAGCTGTGGTCCCTCTTGAAATTTACAATAATGTTTTTTCTTCTACATTTGTAAAGTGAATTGAAGTATTAGGGAACTAGAATGAATATAACACACAGAGACATTTGAGTTATGAAATTATTAGTTATCCATTGCTACATCACAGATCACCCCAAAATGTAATGGCTTAAAACAGCAATAGGCATTTATTATCTCTCATGATTTCTGTGGGCAAGAATTTGGAAACAGGGCCGGCTGAGTGGCGCGATGGTTAAGAACTGGCTTGGGACGCCAGAGGGACCCGGTTCGGATCCCACATATGAGGGCCAGTGACACTGTCCTCCACAGCTAAGATGCTGAACAACAGCTCAACCTGGAGCTGGGCTGCTGTGAGTCACCGGTGACGGCGTAGGCTGCAGCCCCTGTGGCAGTGGGTTGCCATGGGCTGCCGTGTGTAGCCAGCAGCCAGCGTGAGCGGCCAGCAGCCGCCTTGAGCGGCCATCCAGAAGCCGGTGACTGATCTGCCTTGCCCGGGAAGAGCGCAATGATGGTGCCAACTTGGGCCAGTGAAGCAATGCCCTCCACAACTAGACTGAAGGGCAAAACGACAGCAGCTTGCCTGTTCCCCTTCCCCCAAATCCCCAGCGCTGTTCCCATCCCCCCAATTCCCCAAGGGAAAAAAAAATTAAAAAAAAAAAAAGAATTTGGAAACAGCTTAAGTCATCATCTGGGACTTTCATGACATTATAGTCAAATATCAGCCAAAACTTTGGTCATCTGAAGCTGGATGTGAATGGAGCTGGAGGATCTACTCACATGATTAGATATATGTTAAAAAAAATATGCACAAGATCTATATGAGGAAAACTCTGCTGCAAGAAATCAAAACAGAACTATAGAAATGAAGAGATATTCCATGTTCATGGATAGAAAGACTAAATATTGTCAAAATATTAGTTCTTCCCAATGCAATCCCAATAAAAATGTCAGCAAGTTGTTTTGTGGATATCAACAAACCAATTCTAAAGTTTATATGGAGCGACAAAATATCCAGAATAGCCGACATAATATTGAAGGAGAAGAACAAAGTGGAAGGCTGACACTACCCAACTACAAGACTCTCTATAAAGCTACAGTAATCAAGACAGTGTGGTACTGGCAAAAGCATGGACAAATAGATCGATGGAATAGACTAGAGAGCCCCAAAGTAGACCCACATAAATATAGTCAATTGATCTTTGACAAAGAAGCAAAGGCAACACAAGGGAGAAAAGAGTCTTTTTCAACAAATAGAAAAACTGGACTTCATGTGCAAAAAAAAAAAAACAACTGCACAGACCTGCACCCTTCACAAAAATTAACTCAAACTGAGTATAGACTTAAATGATCACAGGCCTAAATGACCAAAACTATAAAACTCCTAGAAGATAACATAAGAAGGCCACCTCTCAGTTCTTTTGAACACCAGCAGGAGGCTGAACGCACAGATCATACTCCTAATTCATGCAGAGCTGCAGCAAAACAAGTCTGAAATTCCTCATGAAAAAAGCCAAATCTCATAAATTCATTAGTTAGCATCTACTGCTGTTGCAACACATGTCTCCTTTATTCCTTGCCCCTAGAAAGCCAGATCCCAGTTTTTTTATGTGTTCTTTAGGTGTGCCTCGGGAACCTTCGATCTAATGCCACTTCTTTGTCTCCTCTTCAGCCCTCCACTCTGAACAGTTATGCTTTTGAGCAATGGGCTCTGTGTGTTCCCACTGCAAACAGGATGTCCCTGAGTGCTCTGTGCAGAAAAGAACAAATACTTCTCTAGGCTTTAGAGAAAGGAGATTTTCCTTAGAAGCCTTAATATCAATATTTGTAATTTTTTCAGTGAACAGATTAGTGGTTTGAGCCATTTGTGAGACTGTGGGGAATGTGGTCATTTTATTTTCTGCTAACAAAGAGTTGGCAAAAATTCCTTTTTGGTTGTGGAATGTCCAAAATGTAGTCAATGTCTTCCTAGCTTAATGTGCCAGAGAACTCTGGGGTCAAAATGCTGGTATTAAATCCCAGCTTCACCCCTTGCTGACCATGTGACTTTGTGTAAGCTCTCTGAGTTGATTTGTTCACATGTAAAATGAAAATAATCTTTTCCTCCTCAACTTGTTTGTTAAATAGATTAACTAAAGGACCCAGGAGTGCACTAAACCAAGTAGGCCCCTCAAAAATGTGATTCCTGCTTGTCATATAAGGGATGGGATTGGAGTTCTACCATAGGGACATGTTTCTGAATGTTGCATGAATGAATACAACAGTGTTATGTATCTAAAAGATACAGGAGAATTAACATTAGGATTGTAAGGGAAACCGAGTCAGAGTAGAACTACATCTGTGAAACCAGTCTGAACAATGCCCATTCCAGTGGATTGGATGACCATTTTAAATTGTCAGCAGCCATAGGGAACCCATATAATCATCTCAATCGTATCCTCTGTGTATGGTGAGTCATATTATTGTTCAAAATACTTTCTACCTCTTCTGGGAAGCTTATACTTCATTCCACCGATCTCGGCTCAGCCATGGCACTTGCTTAAGCTAATGAACGGTGAGCAGAAGGAATACGTGCAATTTCCCAGCGACATGTTTAGGTGCCATCGCACAACTTGCCCTCTCCTGTTTCCCAGCAGTGTCCCAGGGTAGGCAGTCCCCTCACCCTGGGCCCTGGAGTGAAGGTATCATTGAGCAGATGGGAACCTGGCCTGTCGTGCCTGTGTAGTTGGAGTGAGAAATAAACATATGTAATGATCCAAGGAGATTGGTGTGTTTGCTTTTTTTAAAAAAGATTTTATTGGGGAATTGGGCAAGGGGAACGGAATTGGGGAATTGGGGAAGGGGAACAGCCAAGTTGTTGTCCTTCCATGTTAATTGTGGCGGGCGCAGCTAGCTCAGCTCCAAATCCAGTCGCCATCCAGCCGCCCTTCGGCAGCTCACAGCCGCTCAGCTCAAGGTGCTGTGTTCAATCTTAGTTGTGGGTGGGCATAGCCCACCATCCTACGCGGGAGTCAAACCAGCAACCTTGTTGTTAGGAGCACGTGCTCTCACCAGCTGAGCCATCCTG